ATAACAGATAGATTGTTATCAAAGTTGTATAAGTATTATTTCATTGATATACCGATTTATTAAATAATTTCAAATTTTGTCTCGTATTCTTCCTCTTGTCAATGCTTTTCGTATAATTAATTTTTTTGTATTATTGTATAATGTTTAAAAAATGTTATTTATTGAAAAATAAGACGTCTATAAGATGCCGCAAAGATGTCAAAAATCGAGTCATAAGACGCCTTAAAAACGTCTTTAAGAACATCTTTATATTAATAAAACATTTTAAAATATTTTAAGATGTCTTTTAGATAGATTTTAGAGATTTTGGACGTCTTAAAATATACTTTTTGTTATGCTTTAATTGCAAGTCAGTACTTTCTAATTGCATATTGTGCACATTGTGCGAAATCCCTTTGTCTCTTACTTGCCTCGTTTTTATTCCCTCCCCCTAATCTTTTCCCCTCAGGATGTTGCGCCGGCGCATAGATACCAGATAGACTGAAGCTAGTTATTATTTTCCAATTATTTTTTCGGATATTTTCGAGTCGAATAGAATTTTATTAATTTAAATGTTATATCTTAAGACGATCATAAATATGTAAGAACTGACTGTAAATAGAAGAGACTTTTGTGTAAAATTTATTGCCTTTAAAAGTTGATGGCATACTTTGCTCAAAATCTGTCTCCATAAACTTCTAGATGGCTACCTAGGAAAATTATGATCATAATCGACATAAAGAAATGTCATTATTATTATATTTTTTTCATTATATTTTTTTAATGTAACATTCAAATAATAAAAATATATTTGTTATAAAATTAATGTTTTCTTTTTAGACTATTCTTCTCTTTTTGCAAACAATAATTGAACAGATTAACATAATGCTCTATCATAATGCTATTATTCTCTATAAATAGATTGAAAAAAAAATTAGCGTCAATGCCACTACGATGTGTGAAATCTCTTGCAGCGGAAACAAGTGAGCTCGATGCCCGCAATATATGTAACAGGTTGCATCGGATAACATCAATGCAACAGCTCAACGCAAACCTGAATTTGATAATTTTCACGTAAGTTACTATTATATTTTTTTATTTATATATAATAAATAATATATTATATAATATTTATTTTTAATTAATTCAAAAATTATTATTAGTTTCAAAGAAAATTTGATTATAAGCGCATAGAGAGATATACACATACCTTTGGGAAATAGAGGGTGAATATGAAAAAATGACAAGTTGTCGATAAAAAAACCTACTAAAACGATTATACATTTGGAAACTTTCTTTTTTTTTATTCATTTATATTAAATTTTATAAATACAAAAACAATAATAAATTTTTATACAACTTTCACAACGCTCTAAAATTAAGAAAGGGCCCCCCGCTTGTACTTCGAAATAGGTTGCTCTCATTCGATTTCGCGAGAAAGAATTCTCGGACAATGATTCTAACAACAAACATAATGAAATGGAAAATGCGCGATGAAATGGTGTTCCGTTTTTTCTTTATAAAAATGATGCCTTTATATGTAATCAGTTCCACACGCCAGTTAGATCAAGAAAATGTTCATTTCACTGGCATGTACATTTTCACAATAGTTATAAATAATTGATATTAATAAAATTATAATATTATTAATGACAATGATAATAATATAATAATAATGATAATAATTGTAATAATAAATGGTATAGTAAATCGTAATAGTACAATAATAATAATAATAATAATAATAATAATAGGCATTCTATGCTAGAAATAGTGACGTCATTATGTTATTTTTCCTCTCATTATTAATAGAATACTTAATAATTAATGCTCTTGATTTGCGTTACACCGCGCGGCTTATGATCGTCATGACAACTGCCATAAGAAAAAACAACTCGAGTAGTGTAAACTTTTGAAATTAATTTTCAGAATTAATCCGATCGATATTGACAATTAACAAGCCCGCCCTTATTCCTTCACTCTTTCGTTACAACTTCCGAATTCCAGCTTCAGAATTTTTGCTGTTATGACATACATCTCGTATATTATAGTAAAACATAATTTCTAAATCATGTCACAGAAGGTGCACGTACACATTCGTAAGGTGCGATCTGAGACAGATCAGCCTTAAAATTATAATTGCACAGTTTTCAACGCTGAAAAGAGCATTGATGATAACGAGAGAACGGGCCGCACGGTGTGGCCGCAACAATCGCGAATATTATGTATCATATGAATACGCGACAATACAAATTACTCGTTATTGTTATTTAAAACTTGAATGAACGCATATATGTACACGCATGTACGGTAGCCAGGCGTCGCGAGCGGGTGCGTGCTTTTATTACTATCGGTGTTCGCAGCGGAGTTCTGTTTGCCAGGCTAATTTAAATATAATCAGTCGAGAGGCATTCATTGTCACAGCAACGTGTTCGAGTTAAAAGACTCAAAAAATTGTTGTATAATAAATATCCGCGGGAATAAAATCCAACGAGCAAATTAATGAATCATCAGGCGAATTATAAATAATGAAATGTGCGTACATGTGTGTATATGCTTTATGAAAAAGTTGAAAATCCATGAAAATGTATCTTTGAAAAATTCGTCCAAAGTTTAGAATTTATATCTTCTAAGATGATGATTTATATATAGTCTACAAGTTGGCCAAAGTTCGTGAAAATTTCCCTGTCAAACTGAGTTCCGTCGTGATAGTTGGATCGTCATACAGTGTGTTATAATAGTTTCGCATCACACTAGCATGCCTATGCACATATATGCTTGTACTGGCAGTGGGCTCGGCTCCGCTTAATACTCTGGTACTATGGAGTTTTTATCACAGAGATATTAAATTGTTTGGTGCACTTTTTTTCTCCTTTCCTCAATCCCCCGTCGCAGCAATTTTCCCTCCTCCACCGTTCGTTCGTTCTTTCTTTCTTTCTTTCTTTCTTTCTTTTGCAGACTGTAAGTCGTTTCTTTTCTTTCTTTCCTTCTTTCTTTTTTTTTTTTTTTTTTTTTATTATATATAATTCCGCAGCGGTATCGTCTGGCTACGTCGATTATTATACTAATTTTCACGCACGAAATATAACAATCGATTTTCAATCCTCACAAAAGCGATAAACAATTGCCACGATACCATTAAGGTTCAAAAGGTTCCTTTTTTTTATTTCTTTCTCAATACGATTTGTCGTTCTTATTTTATATATTATATGCAAGCCGTACCTATTATCTACATATAAATATATAATAATATAATCGAAAGCGTATGATTGTGGGAGCAAACTTCAAGAGTTTTTCAGGAATTTACGCAGCCGGTTTCGCCAAAGTCGGTCAATTTTTTGACCTTTTTGGTGTTTAATATGGAATTTCTATCTTCTACGTCTAGTATTAGGATTGGAAGGCAGCAAAAGAATAATTGATCTGTGATTATAATTGACTGACGTTAGCGAAACTGGTCCCGAGGTCCTTGAAAGTTTATCTAAATTTCCTGATGAGTTGTCGACGGATAAAAAATCGTCCATTCGGTCCAACTATTTGATACACGAGAGATTCCAGTGGCGTCATCGTAAAACAGATTATACAACTCATATTTATATTAAAACAAGAATTGACCGATCTAACGATTAGTTTCGGGTGACATACATTTATTTCGCGTAACTTAAAAAATAAGATAGTTAAACATCTTAAGTAGTTTCATAGTTTAAATTTTCTTTTCTGTTTTAAAATTCGAAATCAAGATCGCACCTTTATGGATATATCTATCGTGTGCGTTATTTTCAAAAACCTGTTTACAATAAATCTGCCAAAAATAATAATATATATCCTTAAAAGATATGTGATTTATTTCAATTCGATTTGATGATCTGCTTTTGTGCTCGCCCGACGAATATTCAATCGACGACTATTATCGACATCAACTGGCAGTTCCCGTTGGACCGAATTGTGACGCTAACGAGGTAGACTGACGTCAGTCTTGTTAAGGCTGGCAAGAGATTAAATGACCTCCGCGAGCGTGCATCTAACAGTGTTTCGATCAATCTAAATTAAATAATTACACATGACAAATATATATATATCGTCGAAAGTTAGACCCAAAAGCGGGTGTAAATTATTCGAAAAATCGGATTGTCGTTCGCATGCACTGAAAGTAACACGTGCGAACATCCGAGAACAATTTCTTGCCTTATTCTACTCAGTGGATGAACCTTTAGATAGCCAACACCCTCTTTCATATTATATTATATCGGTCGATTAATTGTATATTAATGATTGACCGCCATATTCGGCAGTTGTGACAATCATCTTGAAAAGTTGATCGACTTCTTAGAATTATAATTTAATCGTTTTACGTTGATTATACACTGACCGCTATATATTGCTGACAATAATTACCGTATAATCTATATATGTTTACAGTAGCCAAATACCATAGGTATGTCTAACATATTTCTTTTATTATATTTGAACGATTTGCCATCACTAGAGGCATATCCTTCCTATTTAAGTTTAAGAAATCCTACAAATCGTCTTCAGACTACTCGTGGTACTGGCCGCTATATACAAATCGCATAGATAATGTTATAAAAAAAACATAATCCCAATAAATCTGCCATATACTTAAAATATAGGTAACATATACATAAAATAAATACAATATATAAATAATATAGTAACATTTAAATTAAACACAACATAAAATAAGCGAAATATTTGTGAGCACCTGGCATGTGCGTGTGCGTATATAATTGCACATTCTAAAAACTCTGATTTTCATCCAAAAGATTTTCTTCTACTTTTTGATAAATTAATTTTTTTTTAAACTATCAAAATTTCCTCCAAAAGTTTGATTTCATGGGATTACGTTTTTGTTTTTTTTTTTTTTTTTTTAATTATCGAACTATTCATGCGTGTTGCATTCGCGCAATTATTTCATCGTGCACGCTCGCGATCGGTGTCATGATCCTTCCGATCAAGGAATACATATTCGCTTCTTTCTTCATCCTTTCTTCATCCAATACATACGTTAAAGCCTCATTAAGAGACTATCGAACATCGAATCGTCGATATCAAGAAAATAGTTGCGAGAGTGTTATCGTCTGTGAATTGTTAGGAAAATACATATAATCCGCGGCAAATTGCGTTAATTCTTATAAAATGTTGTTAAGTAACAAATGCTGCTTCGATTATCGAATTGACTTTATGCAATCAATCCTTTTTCGGACTATGTCGTATGTTGAGTGGAAAAATAAGACATCAACGAGCTGCAATACACTCGGGCGTTTTATGTTCAGGATTCACCGAAGAGGCACACCGAAGTTCCTTTCTACTATCCAATTCCAGAAACGGTAAAAGAGATGCCCAGCAAACAGTTTTATCGCCGTTACCAGTTAAAAATCCGTCGAACAAGTGCATTGCGATCACTTTAGCGGAAAATGAGCGAAACCCGCAACGACTCTCGAGTTCTTCAAACTTTCTCTCTCAAGCTTGCTCAAGAGAAGTTAGGTCTTTTCAGCTTTCGACTTCGATCAGTCAGTAAAACGTTAGTGAAATATATATCTTTCAAGAGATCCTTCTTTTCAATTTTCAAAATCACATAATCTTAGCGGAGCTTCGTCAGTGACTTGGACTATGAAGCTCGAGCAAATTGGATGACGGAGTTCTGCCTCTGCGAGGCTGCGATTAGGCCACTGCTACTCCTGTATTCGCTCTCCATGGACTGAAGGATCATTTTGCTACGTTTCCTGGGCGGCAAGATTAACGTTTCCCGCGGCGGTATCGCCAGATCCAAAGCCAAATCGGGTGACGACGCCGGGCTTTCAGGGTTGCTGCACGGTGGCGTGAGCAATGGATCCCGATCGATCTTGATGATCTCGGCGCTATATTCCTGCCTCTGGCGCTCTTCCTCTACCGCTTCTAAGGCGGCCTCGACCCTACGTCGCGCGTCGTTACCCGGTAGATTCAAGAGGGTCGAGCAATCGGTAGCACCGAAGTCGACGTTGCTGCCGGTAGACAAGCCGAAGTTGTTGTACGCCGGCTCTGGGTAGAAAAACACATGATGAGACGCCTGTTCCAGCGGCGTGCTCACCACTACGCTCGCCTGGAAGCACTTCTCATCGATATCAGCGAACACAGGCTCCGTCGTGCCGTTCCTTGACGGCGGTAATGACTGCGAATACTGTTGCTCCCTATTGCTGGAATACAGATAATACGCGAAGTCACGTTGAACGGCGTAAGATGCATTCGACGTTGAATCCGGATAGGCCTCTTCAGTCTTGAGATTCTCCTTGTCATCGGTGGCGATAGCCGGTAAAGCTGGACTCGCTGAGAGTCCAACGGCCGGGCCGAGATTGTCATTGCCAGCGCCGCTGCCGCTACCACCACCGCCATTCCGAGAGACCTCAATGTCCGGCTCGATCGGCGAGCTGATCGTTGTTGGCGAAGGGATGCCGCTGGCGTCGGTGACGGTAGAGGTGACGGATGCCGGTGACTCCGGGTGTTTCTTGATGTGCAACTCCATCGTCTTCTTGGAGCCGAAGGTCTCGTTGCAGATCGTACACTTGTATACCTTCTCGCCGTAGTGCGACACCTGGTGCAGCTTGAGCACGTGGTTGTAGCCGAACGCCTTGCGGCAGATGTCACAGGTATAGGGCTTCTCGCCGGTGTGGGTGCGCGTGTGCACCTTCAATTGCTTGGAGCAGGTAAAGCCCTTCTTGCACGACTTGCACACGTACGGTTTCTCGCCGGTGTGCGTGCGCATGTGTATCACCAGCTGACCACTCTGTATGAACGTCTTGGCACACACGGTACACTTGTGCGGCCGTTCGCCGGTATGGATACGCATGTGGCGGTGCAGCTTGCCACTGTGCTCGAAAGCGCGCCCGCACACGTCGCATTTGTACGGCCGTTCCTTCGTGTGGATCCGCCGGTGCACGCTCAGGTTCTCCTTCACCGAGAACGACTTGTTGCAGTATTCGCACTGATACGGCTTTTCGCCGGTGTGAGTGCGATAGTGGCGGGTCAACCGCGCCGGCACCGCGAATGTCTTCCCGCAGATGTTGCAGCGATACGGATCCTCGCCCTCCTTGCCGTGCGACCTCAGGTGACTCTGGTAAACGCTCTTCTGCGCAAAAGTCTTCTGGCATAGCAGACATTGATATTTTCCGACATCCACTGTCGTAGGGCTAACTGGATCCGCGGCCTCGACTCCGTTGCACTCCGGTGGTGTGGCGAACATCGTGAGATCCGGACTGCACACTAGGCTCTTCACCGAGCTCATCGTTTTCAGACCAGCAGTTATGCCGCCACCCGGCATTGGCATTGATATCGTTGGATTTGACATGGACCTCGCCTGACCGAGTAATCCAACATCAGATGAGGAACTGAAATAAAAACATTCAAAAGATTGATTAATTATGTGGATTTTCTTCTGTGTCGTACGTGAATGTGTCGTAATATGTATGTTATGTGTGTAATTTTGATTCAATGATGCAAAAGTGCGGCTACTTGTAAAATTATGGGTGGGTAATAAATAAGATGCAATCGACGCATCATAAAACTAGTAGCTTTTGTACGCTTTTTTAATTATATAAATAAAATTGAATGAAACTTGTATCTGTTAAGACTGTGCGCAATATTCGCAAGTTGAACACAAATAAACAAATCTTTGCCATAAATAAATAATTCATACGTGACGTATTACGGTAATTTATAGTAACAATTAAATGTATTAATCGCATACATGGGGAAATTTTAATTGTGTCATTGTTTAATAAGATAAACATCTCGATAAAAATTACAAAACGCATTAGTCGAGATACTTTTATACTTCTTACTTAACTAAATTGTCGGTATCAATAAAAAAAGTACATAATTGTACCATGTTCGTAAATTAGGCAATTTCTCGTGCGTTGTAATCTAATATCTCAAAAAAATATTTTTACGGGTATTATCCGTGTCATTATACGGCGTTATTATGTGATACAGTATCAGGCTGCTCCTCGCCCTGATGAAGCGAACCGCAATGTTCACGAAACGTTGGCATACAACAATATATAATGATACAAATAATATTTGTAAAAATATTTAATATTTAATATATTTAATATTTACTTTTTGGAAAATAGTAACCGTGGTCTCGTGTCAAAAAATGCAAAAAATAATATAATATAAAATCGCATATCTGTATTATTAACGTTACGATATCCATATCTTTGACGTTTTACGATCCAAAACATGGTACTCTGTGATGGATCTACGCCATCCATTTGTGAAATGTTTGCCCAAACTAAGGGAACACAAGTATTTCTACTTGATTGTTCTCTCGAGATTCAATGGGAGCTTTTCATTCTTTCCAACGAGAGACCTAAGAGTTTCATTTTGTCTCTTTCCGATCTTCGGTGAGAGACAAAGGAGTAGAATGACCACCACGTCGACTAGTGTCTCTCGCTGGAGAGCTCCTAATCGTAGGCGTAGTGAACTTTTTCAAGTTCAGATTTAAGATAAAAGTGCAAAGTATATTTGCTTTGACGTATATTTGCGAGTAAGAGCAGAGATAATATTTTTCTCTTGTTTAAATTAGACAAATTCTCGACATTGTGCGTACGGTATCATCTGCACGTGCGCCGTGTTATCATCCGACAACGGTCGCGGGAGGCTGCGGGCGTGGTCGGCGGCCGTGCAGCAAGCGTATCGTGTGCCGGTCCTCTTGCCGACCTCCCCCTCCGACTACTCCTCCCCCCCCCTCCCGCCTTCCCTCTACCCATCATAGCCGTCACTCGTCTTCGCATGTCGCGGCCGAAACCCGTGCGGCCGCCTCCACGTGTACGAGTCGCATTTTTTTATAGCGATCACCGACCTCGTCCAACTCGGCGCGCAGTAAGGACGTCAAGAGTTACATCACAAGAAGAGTGCACGGGAGCACACGTCCAATGATAATCGCGTACGGCACGCTCTTTTTTTCTCTCTCTCTCTCTCTATCTCTCTCTCTCTACTTCTATGTCTCTACTCTATAATTACTCCTTCCTTCCTTCGTACTTACCCCTTCCCTTCCCTACCTTCCTTCCTTCCTTTCCTTCGTCTACTCTAACCGTTACCTTACTACGAGGACCGCGTCTTCTTCTTAATCGACTGATCGGCCTACGAGTATCGCAACGCATAAAA